AAATGCTGTTGATATTTTTAATTAGAATTGCTTTAAATCTGTACATCAGTTTTGGGAATATGGCCATTTTGACAATATTTGTTCCACATATCTGGGAACAGAGCATATCTTTTCATTTTCAGATGGCTTCTTTGATCTCCTTTTTCAGAATGCTGTGCAGTTTTCATTATAGAAGTCTTTCACTTCCTATATTAGGTTAATTCCTGTACATTGTATTTAATTAACCTCGAAGCTATTGTAAATGGTACTGTTTTCCTAATTTTTTTTCTTGGTGTTTTGTTACTGGTATACAGGAACACTGTTAATTTTTGTGTGTTGATTTTTAATTTCTACTACACTACTAAGTTTGATTATTCTAGGAGTCTTTCAGTGGGATTTTTTTGGGTCTTCTATGTAAACAATTCTGTCATCTGCTAATAAGAATGCTGTGACTTCCTCCCTCCCTCCTCTACATATCCCTTTTGTTAGTTTGTTTTCTCTTTGACTGTTTCCAACACTATATTGAACAGCAGTGGTGTTAGTGGGCATCCCTGACCATAAAAGCGCTTTCAGGTTTTTTACTGATATGGTGTTGGCAATAGGTTTGTGTTAAACAGCTTTTGTAAGATTAAGGTCCTTCTATATTCACTTTCTTCAGGTTTTTTTAAAATCAGGAATAGATATTGGATTTTGTCGTCTTTTTGTGTTTATGGAGATAAACATGATTTTAGTCTTTGTTTTATTCTTTCAAAGAAATAGTTCTTCGATTCCTTCTTTGTATTTTTCATTAATTTCATTAATTTCTGCTCTGATCTTTAATTTCCTTGTTTGTGCTAAGCTTAGGATTTGTATTGTTCTTGTTTACGTAGAACATAATGATATATCAAGTTATTTATTTAGACTTTTTTCTGATGTGAGCATTTCACAGTGATAAACTTCAGTCTTTGGATTATTTTCATTATAAACCATAGTTTCTGGTATGTAATTTTGGCATTACTGTTTAATTGTAGGAACTAATTTCTTTCTCGATTTCTTCTGTGACCCATTGATTAAGAGTATATTGTTTAATTTCCATGTGTTGCATAATTTCTGTGAGTTTTTTTGCCATTGATTTCAAGTTTCATTGCCCAAAGATCTGAAAAATATGCCTGGAATAATTTTGATTCTTTTATACATAAGCATGCTTTATCAACCTCTATATGGCCTAATTTCAAGAAAGTTATGTGTCTTACTGAGAAGAACACATTCTGTTGTGTGGAATACATCTAGAGTCCATTTGTTCAAAGGTGTGGCTCAACTCAGTTCGTTTTTGGTTTTTTAGTTTGTTTTTGACTTGTTGATCTACTTGTGATAATGTGATATTGAAGTCCCCCTTTATAATTGTGTTGATATTTACCTGATTTTTATGTTAATTAGTGTTTGTTTATGAAGTTGCATGTGCAAGTGTTCAGTACATACATAATTATTCTTTACCTCTTCAGTTGTTCCTTTAACCAATATATACTAACAGTGTTTACCTCTTTTGATCAATCTTGGCTTGAAGTTTACTTTATTTGAAAATAAAATAGCTATTCCTATTTATTTTCTGGATCTTGTTACATGGAATATTGTTTTCCATCCTTTATTAGTCTGTGTGTTTCTTTTTTGTTTTGTCTTTTTCCTTTTTATCGGTACCAGGGATCGAACTCAGGACTGCCTGCTTGCAAGGCAGGTGCTTATGCCGCTGAGCTAAATCCCCAGCCCCCCATCTTTTTTGGATTAAATGTGTTTCTTATATATAGCTCTGGGTTTTGTTTTTTGATTGAGTCTGTCACTCTGTGTCTTTTCATTGAGAACTGAGACCATTTCACATTCCGAGTTATTACTGAATGATACTTATTCCTGTGATTACATCATTTTCTTATTGCTGACCACACACACACCCCAACTGCTCACACTACTGATGTATTCATTCCACTAGACTTTTTAGCATTGTTTGGTATTGTTGGTTTCTCTCTTTAGAATATCCTTGAGAATTTCTTGGAGTGCTAGTTTGGTGGTCATGAATCTTAAGGGTGCCCTTGTCTTGGAAAAAACTTATTTCTCTGTCAATTTTGAAAGATAGTTTTAGTCTGGGTTGGATGTCATTTTCTTTTAGGGCTTGAAACAGTTTACCCCTGCCCTTGAAGGTTTGCGTTGAGAGGTTTGCTGTGATTCCAATGACTACTTTTATAAATAAATTGTTGCTTTCTTTTTCTAACACCTTTTAAGAGTCTATTCTTGTGTAGGACTTCTGAGATTTTGATTATGATGTATCATGGAGAAATTCCTTTCTGATTATTTTGGGGTTCTGTATGACTTGCTTAGCTGTATGTTAAATCCTTTCTCCTATGTTGAACATTTTCTGCTATGATTTCTGAAAGTTTTTATGCCCTTATGCCATCCTTCGCTCTTTTACTAAGTTCAGTTAATCTTAGGTTAGTCTTCTTCGCATCATATAACAGCTGTTGGATCCATTTTCCACAATCTCTTGCTGTTTTCAGTGTATCTCTAGTATGTGGGCACCTGCATCAGCCCTGTCTTCTAAGTTCTGACACTGTGAGCTCACTTCTGCCCATACTTTCAGTATAATTTTTTTAACTCCTAGATTTCTGTTTGGTTCCTTTTCATGGACTCTACTATATTAAACTGATCATTCGTGTTTTGTATTATTTTATTAAGTCCATTATCTGTTTAATTGTATCTTTGAGCTCACTGAGCACCTTTGTGATCTGCAGGGAGTTTGTTGTTGGTTGGTTGGCTGATTGGTTGTTCTGTTTTCTCTCCTCTTTTATCATTTTGTACAATTCAGGTGTTTGGCTTTTGATTTCCTCCTAATCAGTGTCCCATGTACTTGCTTTGTAAGAGTTTTAAATTTTTGCAGGCATTTTGTTGCCTTTTCATATTTCTTTTTATTTTGCTTTTTTTCTTAAGGGTTGACCATCAATAAAATTGGAAAGTCTTTGTGCTAGCATGGAGATCTCTTTAGTTAATGCCTACTTCCAGTGGTGCACTCTGGGCCTGGCTAAATGTAAGCCTTTGTCTCTCCCAAGAGTTGACCATCTCCATTAATTTGAGGATGGGAAGGTGCACTTAAAACTGGCCCAGGACACAGTTTACCAGAAACCAACTGCAATAATGTTGATGACCTAAAGACAAACCAGATTGTGGCATTCAGTAAAAACCAGTTAATAGCAGGAACTATGCCACCATTGGCAATAGCAAAAAAATCCGCAATAGTAATGGAGTCAAAGATAAACTAGATATGTATATACCATAAGAACCAATAAAAGCTACCTCTGTTATACCACCCTTAACAATAGAAAAGAGATCTTCAGTAATCATATAGATGAAGTAATCATAGGTGCAAATATTGACATGCAGTAGGTATCCACTAAACATAACTATACCACCATTAATAATAATAATAGAAAAGAATTCAACAGTAATAGCACATAACTAAATAAAGGTTAATAGAGCTTAGTAGTAATAGTAATGATAATGGAGGTGGCAAGGAAGGGGGAAAGTAAAGAAGTAAAACTTGAAAAATAAAGTAAATTTTAAAAGGAGAGAAATGTGAGATAAATAATCCAGTTAATGAGTTTATAAAAATAGAATTAAATAAAAGTAACAGAAAAAAAAATAAGAAAAAGAAATTTTAAAACATTAGGAAAAAAAACCCCAAATCCCAAAATACCAATGAAAAAAAAGAGATACAAGTCCAAAAATTCCCTCTGTGTATTTAAATAAGTGGTTTCTTTCTAGAGTCTGCGGTAATGGAATGTACCATCATATTGGGATGAGAGGATCATGAGCCACTACTAAATCCTATTTTGTTTTCACACTCATTTTTGTGTGTGAATCCTGAGTCCTGCCTTGCCTTTCCTCTGGGTGTAGTTAGTCTGGGTGATGCTACCTGCCTTTCCTCTGGGTATAGTTAAAGTCTGGGTGATGCTATCTGCCTTTCCTCTGGGTGTAGTTAGTGTGGGTGATGCTATCTGCCTTTCCTCTGGGTGTAGTTAGTTTGGGTGATGCTATCTGCCTAGGGCTTTATTTGCACCAGCTACTCCCAATTAGGGCTTCCTTTGAGTTCTTAAGTCACTTCATTTTCCACCTAGCTTTCTGGCCCTAACCCTTGCTTCAGGGGCCCTTCTGCCTACACACCCCAGTATGTGGCAGCCATTCACATTGAAACTTATCCCTGCTCACATCAGCACATAAAGAAAGCAAACAGACCACTGAACTCTAAATTGGATATAGGCAGTGATGCAGGGTGATTGAGGTGTCCACTGGACTTAATACCAGCACTTTCAGATCCAGCTTTCTCCAAAGCCACACAACCATCCTGGCTTCACACCATAGAGGACAAGATCCCTGCATCCTTCCAGGTGTGAGCGTAAACTTCTCAGAGAGTCTGTGCCTCGCCCATGTCTTCTCTCCATCTCTTGTGGCCATCTCCCACCCAGTGACTGGTAGGGTGACCTCAGAAACCCCGAAGTGTGGTTGTTTTGTGGCTTCTGATTCCCAGGGTAGCTCAGTCTTATCCAAAGTGGTTTCTTGTTAATTACTCAAGTGTGGTGGGCATTACAATATATTTCTTCTGCAATTCTAGACTGCTATGTGGAAGGAGTTATGTTCAGCATAAAGCCCCACAGTGTTTTTACAATTCTCAGTAGCCATGAGCTTTGGCTTACCTTTGTTTGTGGAAACAGCTTTCCCTCCTTTAGGAGCCAAGGTTCATGTTCTAGACTGTTTCCTTCCTTTCTCTGCATCATGTTCAGTTTCTGTGTAGTTTCTAGTTTTCTTGTCAGCTTTTACTTTTAATTCCTAGAGATCTGCTTCTTTTTTCTTACTAAATTGTTTTCCAGGTTTTTCAGGTCCAGGTCCCAGTTGGGATGCATTTTGCTGCTCGTCTTTACAATACCATTTTTGTTCTCCATAAGGTCAGCAATTAATTTCTCTGTAGAAGGATACTTTTGTGGCACTTTTCTCTTCTTGAACAGCTATCAAGGTATCAGGAATTGCGGATCCAGTTCACCATTCCCAAGTGAAACCTTGGGAGGGACAAGCCCCTTCTGAGACCACATCATCCTGGAAAAGCCAAACTCTGGGAGATTTGAAATTTCGATTCACAAGAATTTCAGTTAAGTAAATACTACACCATCCTACTTACCTTCCAGCTGAGGGTTGCATGTTCTTTGACTATTCTTCTGTTCATCAGAATCTTTATTATAACTATACTTCTGTTCATCTGTGCTTCCAGGGATATGGGCTCAACTTGTGATGTCTGTAACACATTTCCTATATAGCTCTATGAGGAATTCATTTGCTGTTCCCCTTCTTTAATTGTTTTATCTTTTGTTTCTGAGGGACTTAGTGGAAAAGGTTCATAAACACTGTGTGATTTTTATTTTTCTGATCTTTTATTTGGACCATGTATAATAAATAATCTCCTAAACTTCATTTCTTCCTGTTTCTGTCTCTACTTCCAGATGATCCTGTGTCCTCTTGGGCCAGCTTTAGGACTCCTTGACTGGCACTCTAGGCCGGAAAGTCAGCAGGCATGGCGACCCTAACTCCCTCTCCTCAGTACTGTCTCTCAGCAAGTAGCCAGAATGAAATAATTTTAGGGTCCCACCTTTAGAGGAGGGAAGTGTTAGGCAGAAAGTCATGAGCAGGCCTGGAGACAGTCAGCTGGGGACTACTTTAATACCAAAGAGGAGATTTTTTTTTTTCCTTCACCATTTTAATCATTAACTATAGATAAAATCCACACAAGCTCATTGTTTCAAACTTTAGCTCAAGAGAATATAACATCCTTTAGCATGCTGATAAGATCTAGGATATATATAAAGTCTAGACCATGGGTTAGGGGTTAGAAAAACTTCAAAGTCTCAAAACAAACCAAACTGAAACATTTACCTAAGAACTAAACAGGGATCTACTTCACTGTGAAATAGCTAAACACAACCCATTCTATTTGTAAAAGAACACTGACCTCAGAGGAAGACAGAAATGTTTCTTGAAAGACCCAGTTAATCATATAAATTTAACATTCAGTGCAACTGCCAAGTTTTGGTTCCTACACCATCATGCTTGAAACTAAATTCTCTCTCTGGCTCTCTGGAAATCTGTTTTGCAATGAGCTCTCCTTTACTTTAGATGATAGCCTGTATATGTCTGAATCTTTTATCAAATACACAAAGAATCAAGATGTGTTACCTGTTGCTTACACTGTCTAGACCTCACTGTGTTGATGCATTCCGGGTAATAATGTTGCAGGAAAATACACATGTTCTTAAAATTGGTGGAACTTTGAGAGGATATGGTGCCCAGTTGAGAATTCTGTGGGTTGTGGTGGAAGGGTATCTAGGGGCCACAGATCTCAACGTCCATGAATCTAGGACATTGCCAAAGCATTTGTCTTCAAGAAAAGAACAAGTCAGACATAAAAGGAATGGCAAGACACAAGGATTTAAAGATCAGGTGGATAATTAGGTTTTATTTTCTTAGGCTTCTGGGATTCTGTCCCTTTCCTTTATCTCTTTGAGGACTATTCATCTGACCCTTGAACTGCATGGTGGTCTCATACCTAAACTTGTAGAAGATGGACCCTTTGTGCAGCTCCAATTGCTGAAGCAAAATATTCCAAACCAAAAATTAGGACTCAGCCAGGTGTGGTGGCACACAACTGTAATCCCAGCACTTGGAAGGCTGAGGCAAGAAGATCACTGTAAGTTCAAGGCCAGCCTGGACTACATAGCAAGACCCTGACTTAAAAAAAAAAAAAAAAAAAAAATTAGGGACTCAGAGCATGACACCTACAAATATGTTTCCAGGGACAACAAAACAAAATATTTGACCTTTTTGGTTTTTTTTTTTTTTTTTTGGTACTGGGGATCAAACTCACGACTATGCACTTGCAAAGCAGGTGCTTATGCCACTGAGCTAAATCCCCAGCCCTTATTTGATAATTTTGAACACAATATTTGACAGTCCTTAGAAAGTTGCTCAAATGTCATTATTAGAAGTTAAATATCAAATGGATATTTTGATATATGGATGAAAAGATTGTAAATAAAACTTCATAGATGAAAAGTGTTAGCTCCCAGAAATGAATGCTTCTAGAATTACAAAGTCAAAAAATATGAAGGCCAAATGCAACATACCGAAGGAGAAAGTGAGTTTCTACAGTTGTAAGATACCCCAAGGATTTGGAACTTTAGAAAAATAAGACCCATTGACTCCTATTTCAGGGTTCTGGTCCAGCAGTCTTCTCCTTTTGCTCTTTAGATTATCAAATAGTTTAAAGTTGGTGATAAACTTTCATAACTGAGCATATCTCAGAAACAAGATAAATTACCTTTGATCTTAGTCTCAACTAAGAAATGAAAAGTTTGAAGATAATACAGAGACAGAAGTGTCCTTTTGGCTCATTTTGATATTTTTGAAGTACTAGAAATGTACTCAGACCTCATGTGCTTTGTTCACATATCAATCATCTCTGTAATCTGTCCATGAAAAATAACATGTGAATGTTATCAGAGGGAAGACTACAGCAAATAGACTTAAACATCTACTCAAGGACTGAAGGCAGAATTTAATCTTTTACTTATTATTTAATTCATTGTCCTTTTTTTCTTTAGTATTTACTGCTATACAAGGGCTTGTTTGTGGAAAAAAGAATAACATCTTTTTATCCTAAAAATTTATAATTATTTAAAAGTATTCTCTATCCATTCTACTATCAAGCAGTTGTTTTGTTAGTAAACTTAGGTCAGCCATACTAATATTTTTATTTTCCCATGGATTAATGGTCCTCAAAATCTACCTAAACAAAAATGCAATTAGATATTATGTGATTTGTTGATGCTGTCTCTAAGGATTTAAAGTAGAAATAAAAAGATTGTCATTTAAAGTGAGTAGAAATGTGCTTTGTTAAGCCTTGAATATAATTTCTAGACTTAACAATATAATTAATTTCAAGATTTAAAGGAAATTATCAGTAAAATTGTTCTTTTACTTTATTATTTTAGGTAGTAATAGGGGTGAAGGAAATGCATCCAGCCAGAAATACTCCAGCATCATCCAGCCATCCAGTTTCTCCAAATCCACACCATGGGGAGGCAGTAGAGATCAAGAAAAGCCATCTTTCACTTCTTTTGATTCTAAAGCCTCAACTACCAGGAATACAGGTTTTGGATTATCTCAGAACCCATTTGCTTCATCCAGCTCTGAAGATCAGAAAGATGAAAAGAAGCTTCTGTAAGGAAAATCACTACCCATTTGCTTTTTTTCCAACAGCACCTATAGTATTTCTTAAAAAATAAGTAATTATTAAAAACTCAGAGTAAGTAAAACCAAAAATCTCAGATCCAACTACTGTTTTGTTATATATCATTCTAGACTTTATTTCACTTAAAAATGTATCTTTCCAATATTAGTAACATGCCTTCTCAAGCCCCCCCCTTACTATAGATTATACTGTGTTTTTAATAACTAAGTTTAGTAGTGCTTAGATTCACTACAAATCATGAGTTCTTTACAAATTATCAGATAAGTCAGAGCAGCTTGTGGACTTGAAGATCACTGATTGTGTCACTTATTCTTCTAAAACTTTTTGGGAGAGGGGATTTTTTTTGAGACAGGCTTTGCTATGTAGCCCAGGCTGACCTTGAGCTCAGCACCATCCTCTTGCTGGGATTACAGGTGTGTGCTACCAAACCCAGCTATTTTTCTAAAACTTTTACTTCATTTACCTATTCAGGCTGGTTTCATTTGATTTCCTTTATTATTGTATAGTACAGTCATGACGTTTCTTAAAAACATTTGTAGTAAAATTTACAACTTCCACCAAAACAGTTGAGTGACTATCACTTCCTTACTTCATGGCTTTCAAGCTAGAATTTCAATATGTGCGTTAGTCTTTTGGTTCCCATAGATAAAAAGTGAAACATCTAAGGATGAATAAGTAATCATGTATAGGCAGGTGAACCAGTGGTAAACATTTTGAACCCAATATTTTTCCACCTATATAGTTTCCACCTATATGAGGCAAATTTATAAAGAAGCAAGTAGAATAGAGGCCACCAGGGTGTTGGGGATAGGGATAGGGTGTTGTTATTTAAAGATACAGAGACTATTGCAGGTAATGATAGAAAAGTTCTAGAAATAATGATGATCACAGCACAGCACTGTGAATGTTCTTATTACCCCGGATTTATACCTTTATAAATGGCTAACATGATAATTTTATAATATGTATATTTTACTACAATAAAAATTTTGAAAATAAACATTTTGAGCTCTGTATTGTATGTAATTGATTTTTTAAGTTGGCTTTTTTAAGTTGAGGTGTTTTTGTTTTTGGTGGTGCTAGGGTTCAAACTCCAGGGCCTTGCATATGTAAGCCCTGATTTAAAAAAACAAAGTAAAAGAAAAAAATCTTTTTCATATTCATTGTGATTCTAAATTTAATAATACTGTTCTCTATAGCTATTATTTTATTTATTGTGATATTCTGGATGAAGAAAAACTTCACTGTAAATCTGAATCTATTATCTGTTCTTGGTCTTAATACAAAGTAACTATTACAGACATGGATCTGTTTCCCATATTGAAAAATGTAAGAATTAGGTAAAATGATTCCTTATGTCCTATAACCCTCTTTTAAATTTTGATTCTCTATCAGTTAAATTGTACTTTTTGTTGTTTGCAATTAGGTGATTATTAATATTTATGATAACTTAAAAAAATTAAAGTCAGTATTGTGCTTATTACACTTTGGTTCTTTAAAAAATGTAAGGTATTTATGATAATTATTAAGTATAATGGTTAATAGTTCAATTATTAATTTGTCTGGTATTGTTTTTACCACAAAATATGCTTTGTATTTCTATAAGCTCCTATTTTAAAGGTTCTTCAGAAAAATATAACTGAAAAAAATCTAAAATTACGTATGTTCTAAAATTTAAAATTTCAGTCAATGAAAATTATAAGCAATTTTTAGCTAGCAGGTTAAAAAAATTCTGACTTATTTTTTGTTTTGTTTTATTTTCCAGCGAAGGAATCATAAAAGATATGGAGATTTGGGAATCATCAGGGCAGTGGAAGTTTTCTGTTTATTCACCAGTGAAAAAGAAGCCTAGTATTTCAGGTAACAGGGAAATAGTTTTTGAGTGTTTTGTTTTGTTTTGCTTTATTTTGTTTTGCTTTTTGTTTCTGTGCTGCTGGAGACTGACCCCAAAGTATCATACTTGCAAAGAAAGTGTTCTACTGCTGAACTACTATTCCCAGTCCCAAAACTGAGTTTTTAAAATATATTCAAAAACTATTACTTTCTAAAACCAATACCATGCTAAATAAAGAAATAAACTACAAACTTAGATGCAGTTAGGATTCTTGTATGTTAATTAAAGCATTCAAGTATTCTAGCAATACTTTATAATTCAGAGAGTACAGTTCCTTTAAGATACATATGTAGTTTGCAGCAAGTGTGGTGGTGCATGCTTGTGATTCTAGCATTGATGGAGACTGAGGCAAAAAGAAAGTTCAAGTCCCAGACCTTTTCTCAAAATAAAAAATACAAATGCGAAGGATGTAGCTCCCTAGTACAACTTACACACCCAACATGTATATATTCCTCATGAGAGATTAACAAAATCAAGACCTACCACAATTCCATAACCCAGGAAGAAGATCTGCTTTCTTGGTTCACTATATATGAAACCTTAGAACTTTCTTTTTTTTTTTTTTTTTTTTGTCTTTTTCATTTTTATCGGTACTGGGGATCGAACTCAAGACTGCCTGCTTGCAAGGCAGGTGCTTATGCCGCTGAGCTAAAACCCCAGCCCCCAAAACCTTAGAACTTTCTAAATGCCTGCAGTGAAGTGTCACATCCTGCCTACTTTAAGGCTTTGGCTACCTGGTTCTGTTTGTTCTTTCTTCCCTTTTTTTCCTTCTGAGAATAGCTATCTTCCTTGAAATATATTGAGACCTATGCTAGAGATAATATTTGAAGACAAGGAGCCTTACCTGGACTACATGGATGGAATTTCTTCAAAATACCTCTTTTCTTTCCCATTTTTTTCTTACCATGCTCCTTGAACTCTGGGGCTGAAAGCTCAACCATCAGGCTTTTCCAAGCCCTTTGTAGGTGCTCCTGGGCCTTTGTCTTGTCGAGGAAGCAACTGACCTCAAACACCAGAGGTAGGGAGAAAAGACATAATGCCAATGGTGGTGATATTGTCTATCAAGATAGTAATAAAGTACTGTCTTAGCTATTTTTTCTCATCACTAAGAAAAAAACGCAACACTCGGGGCTGGGGATTTAGCTCAGTGGCATAAGCACCTGCCTTGCAAGCAGGCCGACGTGAGTTCAATCCTCGGTACCGACAAAAAAGTTTAAAAAAAAAAGAAAAAAAGAAGAAAACCCAACACTCAAAGTTAGAGGAGGAAAGGTTTGTTTAGCTCACAGTTTGTGGAGGTTTCACTTAAATTGACTGGCTCCAAGGCAGGGTGGCATTGGAGATGGGCATTGCAGAGGAGAACCAGTTCATGACAGGCAGAATGCAAAAGAACAACAAAAAAGCAAGCAGCAGGTGAAGATTGCAACCCTCTTTGTGTTCCTTACATTCTCTCTTCAGACTACACACCCTAAGGTGAATGCTACCTACTCTTGGGTAAGTGCTACTCAAGTGAGTGCTTACCTTAAAGTAGGTAGCACTCATCTGAGTGAGTGAGCTTTCCCATTATCCACACCAACTGTGCCAAACCAATCTGGCACTAATTTATTAATCACACACTCTTGATCCCAGCATTCCACACTTATTTGCAGCATCTATTCTCTAGATCCAATCAACTCTGAGAAGTGGCACCCATGACCACATAATATTTTGGGGGTGGGCATCTAGGCAAAGCCATGAAAGTATTGCCTGTATTTAGTTTAAATAGTAATTCTTAATTAGTATTTAAGTCTTACTGGGTTCAGAATTGAACCTAATGCCTAATGTTCTAAAGCAGTGGTTCCCAAAGTGTTGAATGTTGATTTGATCCATGCATAGGGTTGCCATATATAAAGCCTAAGACATTCAGTTACATTTGAATTTCAGGTAAAAATATCTTAAATATATGTATATCCCATGTAACATTTGGGACATACTATACTAAGAAAATATTTGTGCTTGGAATTCAAATTTAACTTGGCATGCTGTATTTTTTTTTTATTTTATTTAAGGAGAAAAAGAAAGAAAAACAGAACAAGGTTACAAGTTATACAGAATTTCAGAAAGAATAAACAGTAGGAAATTACTAGTTAATAAATTACATATTGTTATCTCAGAAATAGTTGTTAAAGTTACAAAATTACAGCATATAAAGTAGACTTTCAAACAGTGAGACTGCAAACAGTTTTGTTCAATGATCCAACAAAACTCAGAAATATGGTTATCTATCTTATACACTTAAATATATATACAGTTATATCTTTTAGAGCACCTTCTTTTCCTTTCTTTTGTACAATGACAATTACACATTTTGGGTTTTATTACTCCCACAGTTCTTATTACCTTTTTTTGAAAAGAGTAATCAATGTGACATAACAGAACAGAATCAGTCAAATCAAAAGGATGGACATAATAGATAATGTAAAAACAAAATACAAGGTGATAACAATGGTTACCATACTGCCTTTTGCTATCTTAAAAAGAATTGCCTGTATCAACAGTTATAATAAATTTGAGCAAAACAGTAAAGAATAAAACCAAAACATTGGAGACATTACACAACTTTAAAAGAAGATAATAGTCAACCAGAATGGGCATCATAATGAATCTTATTGTCTTCACAGTTGTTGCCTATACTTTCGAACTTGGTACTATGAAGCAAAGCAGAATAGGGGAAAACCAGTCAAAACAAGATGGTGAGGGCAATACAGGGTTTCAAATCAAGTTAACAGGAAATCAAAGTGGGTTACTATAATATATCCTGCTACTTTTTATTTATTTTTCCCTAAATTAAAAAGATAAAAATAAAAAAGTAAATAATTAAAAAAAGGAGATTGAGATAAAAGAGGGCATAACAACAAAACAGCACAGGTCAAAGCATAACCATTTAAGCAAAATAGTGTTTCACCACAAGATATCCTGACATAAAAGTAGTTACCATAGTGTCTCTTTCCTTGAAATCTTTGAGTATAACTTCGTATACTGTAGCACCAAACATATCAGGACAATGTAAAACCATTCAAGAGAATTGACAGTATAACAGAGTATTTAGAACCAACTATCAGAAAATGAACAGTGGTTTCTGTATAATCTCCTTGTCTATAAAAGTTTTTGCTTATATTATCACATATAATAAAATCCAATAAGATACAACCTGTTAAGACCAATGGAGACCGAAGAATAAAAGCTTGATGGGACTACAAAACAAGATGATATTAAGTCAGCACTAGCTATTATAATATCTTTTCTCCAAAATAGCTGTTCCTACCATCCAATCTTCTCTGCCTCATTTCTGTTGACATCTTTTTCTGTCATTTGTTGTCAGTTTGTCTTCTTCATTTCGCTTTCTGTTCCATTCATTGTGGCCTCTCTGCCACTGTTTCTGAAATCTTGGTATTTTCCTTCTTTAGAATATCCTGCAGTATTCTCTGTAGAGTTGAATTGGTTGTTGCAAATTCCCCTAGTTCCTCTTTATCCTGGAAGCACCTTGTTTTCCCATCCATTTCTAAGGACAGTTGTGCAGGATATATCAATCTTGGCTGGAAGTTATTATCTTTCAAAGCTTGAATTATTTCCCCCCATACTCTTTGTGATTTGATGGTTTGTGCTGAGAAGTCTGCTGTAATTCTGATGGGTGTTCCCTTGTAAGTGATCTGTTTCTTGTCTCTGATGGTTTTTAATATTCTGTTCTTATATTGGATTTCTGGAATTTTGATTATTATATGCCTGGGTGTAGCTCTGGGTTGTAGGTGGCTGGGGTCCTGTATGCCTCATACATCTGAGTATCTTTACCTTTTGCTAAATTAGGGAAATTCTCTTGGATTATTTCTGTGAATAGCTTTTGTAGTCTATTTGTGTCCCTACTTCTTCTTTTATGTTCTTAATTCTTAAGTTATAGATCCTCTTATCATCTTCTAGCCTTTATATTATTGCTGTTTGTTTTCTTGTTATTTTTAAGAAGTTTTTCATTTCATGCTCCCACATTACAAATCTGCCCTCCAGTTCAGATAATCTATCCTTAGTTTCTTTCAAGCTGTTATGCCAGCTTTCGATAGAGTTTTTAGTTTCCTGGTAATCTCTTTGAACCTGCTTCACGTATTCTATGTTTTCTCTATTTTCTCCATCAAACAATTCTCCCCTTTTTTTCTGTTCTTCCATTCTACCATCTGATTTTCTTGGGCGGCGCTTAGCATTTCGTAGCATAACTATTCCACTTATATCTTGCTTTATTTCATTAAATACTTCTCTTTTGAACTCGTCTATGAGGCTCCAGAGATATCACTTTATGTCTATTGGTGCTGTGTCTGATATTGCATGTTTTCTTTCCTCATTCTCCTTTGCATTCACCTTTCCTGGATCAGTGTTCTCAGGATTGGGGACTGAGGACCCTTTCTTGTTTCTTTTTCCCATACTTTTTGTTCCTTGCATACAAGCGAATATAGGAGGCCCAGTTTTTTTTTCTCTTTGTCTGTTACAGTTTGTTTGAATTGTGCCAGCTAGGTGTTCCCGCCCACTGCAGTATACTAGGGAGACACAGACCTGGGCAGCCTCTGCTGGGCCCGCCCCTCCAGATCAACCTACCAAAGGCTTTACTGCTAGGGTGCACCTCCAGGCGCTGGGACCTGGTTTGGGCTAGCCTACTGGGTCTTAAGAGTCAGCAGCGTCACCCAGGCCAGGCACTCCCCACCAATCCCGCTTGAGAGAGGAATATGTGACTAAAGTTACTTTAGTGTCCTGTTCAGGCAAGTCTGCCCGGTCCCAGTATGTCCTTTGCTGAAGCCTCCTACTCTATGGGAGGGTCCCTGTTCCCCTCACTCACTGCAGGTCAATGCAGGGCTCCCTGCCAGTCCCGCTCTCAACTCCATTCGCCAATTCCCACTCTCAGAGTTTTCCGCGTCTCTCTCCCTGCTGTGCCGATTTGGACGCAACAGCGGCAGCAGGAAATTCAAATCACGGCTTCCAATGGCGCAGGATCCAGCTTCCGCACTGAGAATTTAACAGTTCCTGTTATAGCACCGGGATTGCGTTTCCAGTTGGTTTATCTTAGCTTAGTTTGTTCCTGCGTCGGCAGGGTACATCTCCCCTTACTTAGGACTCCTCCCACCACCCCATTCCTGGATTCTAAGTGGGGTATCTCAGAGAGCCTCCGTAGCTGCTGCTATCTACCCGCCATGTTCTCCTGGAAGTCCGGCATGCTGTATTTTTATTTGCTAAATCTATCAACCTTATCCCTAAGACACCTTAGTGGCTGTGTAAGTTTAAAAATATTTCATAATACTAAGATATTAATTACCATTTTCACATTTGTAGTATTGATATAAAAGCATTAATAAATATTGATATTCATCTTAGCATGAATTACTGCAGAGGCAATAAAGTACTAGTAGAAGATAGATTAATTGTAATGAAGAAAAATTTTAAGTACCACTTTAGCCAGAATGTCCTTGATGAAGAGGTGAAAGCCAAACATAGTGGCATATACCTATGATCCCAGCACTTAAAGAAATTGAGGCAGGAGCATCACAAGTTTGAGCAATACCTGGCAACTTAGTGATACCTTGTCTCAAAATAAGAAGTAAAATGAGTGGCGGTGTAGCTCAGAAGTAGAACACCCCTCGCTAGGTTCAATCCCTGTACCATAACATTTTTTAAAAAGTAAAAAGTGCTGGGGACATAGGTCAGAGGCTTAAGCACGAGCCTGGCACGCACAAGGTCTTGAGTTTGATTCGTGGTACCAAAAAAATAAATAAAAAGGAAAAAATATTTTTATAATATTGACCCTTGAGAATACATTTTGAATATTCTGTGTAACAAAATAGTAAGCATATGTAAAGGGTTTCTGCCCGTACCCAACTGTGATGTTTATCTTGGGGAAAAAACCTTGTATGGTCAGCACTTTTTTCACAGTTTTTATTGCAAAGCATGATAGCTCTGGTTATTCACACTTAGGCATCTGATGGATATGTTGAATGAAGTGGGCCTCTCATTTCAGAGAAAACAACCAACAGTGTTCATTACCAATGATAAAATTCATGCTTTCAAACAAAATTAAAATTATGGAAAAGTCTTTTGTGTCACTGCAAGTCTGATGGCTTCTCAGTGCTCTAAAATTTCTTCTAATGAGATGGATGACAACATTAACAAATGTGAATTTTTTTGTATTACATAGTGGTATTTGCCAACATTTTGAAGTTCTACATTTTCATTGAGCTAATGTTTTCCAAATGATCAATGTTTGCTGCTACAAAATTATACATGGCTAAAAGTCCATTTTAAGTATTAAATAAACTAGTTCCAGTGGATTTTTTTTTTTTTTTTTTTGTCTTTTTCCTTTTTATCAGTACCAGGGATCGAACTCATAACTGCCTGCTTGCAAGGCAGGCGCTTATGCCGCTGAGCTAAATCCCCAGCCCCCTCCAGTGGATTTTAATATAATATTACAAAAAACCCTCATTAGCAGTTTTTGTTTTTGTATTGGAAATTGAACCTAGAGAGTGCTAAGCTATAACCCCAGCCCTGTTTCTAAGTTGAAGAGGCTGGCCCCAGCTTGCTATCTTTCTGCTTCAGCCTTCAAATAACTGAGATTACAGGCTTGTACCACCACATGCAGATCCTCATTAGCTTTTGAATCTACTTTGTAGCTAACCTTTAAGAAACTGTAGTTTTAGTGTGACATCAAAGAATTAATATCCACAGTTACCTGAAAAGGTTTTTTATATCTTCCAACATACTTGTGTAAATATAGATTTTTTTATATATATATATATACTTCAACATGTTGAAACCATATTCAACATACTGCAACAGGACGAATGCAGAAATTTTTTTTTGGTCTCTTTGAGGGAGGGTCTCACTAGGCAGTTCAGGCTGGCCTTGAGCTTGTTTTGTAGACCAGGCTGATCTCAAACTCACAACAGTGTTCCTGCCTCAGCTTCCCGAGTGCTAGGATTACAGGCATCCCCCATAATGCCCAGCTGAATGCAGAAATATATGTAAGAACCTAGCGGTCTTTCATTATACCAAACATTAAGTATTTACAGACATTTAACAACATTATTCATCTCATAAATGTTTTGTGTTTTGTTTTGGATAATAAATGCATGCGTAAATTCAGTTGGGACTTTGGGGACTTTGTTGCTGTGCTGTGCTGTGCTGTGCTGAGCTATGTTTTGTTGTGCTGTGCTGGATCAAACCTGAAGCCTTGTAAATGCTAGGCAGATGATCTACTGCTGAGCTATATCCTCCGCCTCTGATTTCTTATTTTAAATTAATTAATAAATGCTTTCTAAATTTCTCAGTTTTCCTTTTCAAATGTGGTAATTATCAATATGTGTAACTCATGTAAACAGTAGCTTTTGGGAGTCCTTTATTAAAATGGAAATGGGTTCTGAGACCAAAACGTTTGAGTACCCTTCTCCTTAAGCATCCATTTTAAATAATGAATTAATTTTTCTTATACAGCTAGAATGATGTTCCTTTTGTATCGCCCCTCAAGTTACTCTTTGATAGTTATTCAGATAATTTTCTGAGTTCTTTGATGAGGCGCCCTGGTTGAGCATGGCCAGTAGGAATAGAGAGTAACTAGAGGACCAGTGTTCTGTGGATAGAGTAGTTGTTCATCCTAGGAGGCAATCTATTTTTATTGTTTATGTTGCTATTGACAATTTTCCCCTTAGAAAAGCTGAATCATTCTAATTCCCTCACCAGAAATTTAGGAAAATAGGAAAATTTTATTTATTGAATAATAATTTTTTTCTTAATGATTTGTGTTTGTATATTAAGAATATTAGCTATTCTATCATATATGTTACAATTATGGTTTCTGTAGTTTACTATTTGTTTATTGTAGAATATTTTTAAGACTGAAATTTGAATGCATATGTAGCCAGCTCTTTCTTTTTTGGTATTTCGTCTACTTCACTTATCTTTAGAAAATTCTTACACATTCAAAGATCATAAAAGTATACTTCATTCTAATTTCCTACTTTAATAGATATTAAATAGTGTGAGCTTTGAATTTTTCTCATGATAATGAAAATTGCCTGATAATCAGTACGTTTTCTTTTTTTTTTTTTTCCAGTACATGTTTTCTTGTGTAGCACCCCTAGGGTTCCTATTAAAATTACTGGTATTTATTTTAAAATTCCAATTGATTCCTCATTTCAGGTTTTACAGATATTTCACCAGAAGAGTTGAGGCTTGAATACCATAACTTCTTAACCAGCAATAACTTACAGAGTTATGTAAGTTTGTTTCCTATTCATCTACCTCAATGACAAACAGGCTCTCAATCACTGTTTTCTGTGTTTGCTTGTGTTTTGGCAAAGTTGATAAAGACTGTAATTAGTTTTCAGGACAGGGCACTTTTTCTAAATTATTTTCTTTGATAGTTGATTACCTAAAATGGTGATACACATTTTGCTGTAATAATTAAGAATATCATTTTTTAAATATAAGAATCAGTCCATTAATCAAATCCTTTCGTCATTTGATAGATGTTTATCAAGCATCTTTTAGGTGCAGATCATATAGTGTATAGCCTATAAGTAAACAGGCTCAGAATTCAGTGGCACAGTGCCAACCTGGCAAGCACAAGGTCATGAGTTAAGATTCTAAATACCCAAAAAAGAAAAGAAAGAAAAATCTAAATAAATTGGGTCAGTAGTTGATAACATAGAGTAAGTTAGAGACCTGAAGCAAATCATAGTATTTTTTTATTGTCTAACAGTCATGGTCGTACATGTCAACTAGTTCACATAGTCACCTTCCATCCAAATATGCTGCCAGGTATTTGTGATTAACCTGTTGATACAAGGAGTTGGTGAGATGAGTGTGGTACCTCACTCCTATAATCCCAGTCCTCTAGGAGATTTAGGCAGAATTGAAAGTTCAAGCCCAGCCTGGGCAATTTAGTAAGCCTTTCTCTCTGAAAAATTAAAAAGAGATTAGGACCTAGCTTGGTGCAAAGGTCCTGGGTTCAATCCCAAGTCTCCCCCTTCCCCCATACACACACCAGGAAAAGGAGCTGGTGAACAGAGAGAAGTGACTAGATTGGGAACAGTTTTGGCAAGTTTTGTAAGGCGTGAGCTTTATAAAATGTGAAACTTTTTTATTTTGGCAAATATGTGAAATTGTTATTGATGAGATTAATTTAAACATTCATTATTAAATTATTATTTTCTGTCTTTTTTTCTTCAGCTAAATTCTGTCCAACAGCTTATAAATCAATGGAGGAATAGAATAAATGAACTGAAGAATCTAAATACCTCAACTAAAATAGCTTTGGTGAGTAGTGGAGTGTTTTCTTCAAGAAAGTGTCATATTTATTACTCTTTTGCAGGGAATATATCACTTTTGATTTGGGAAGCAAACCAAAAATTCTGCCAAGAATTAATGGTAAGGGTGGGGCATAGTGGCACACACTTGTAATCCCAGCACACGGGAGGCTGAGACAAGAGGGTTACTGCAAGTGGACCAGCCTGAGCTGCAAAGTGAGTTCAAGGCCGGCCTGAACTGCATAGTGAAACCCTGTCTCAAAAAGACAAAAAAAAACCTTAATGATAAACCAGGTGCAGTGACACACGCCTATAATCCCAGCGCTCAGGCAGTTGAAGCAGGAGAATCACAAGTTTAAAACCATCCTCGGCTATAGTTCAAGGACAGCCTGAAATATATAGTGAAGCCCTGCCTCAAAAAACAAAACAAATAAACGGGAGAAATTATATCTGGTTTCGTTAGCAAAGTCTTAGGGGGAAGGAGTCAGTGAAAAGTTCCTTGAAAGAAGGATTAAAATTTCAGTAAAGATAAAAGAACATAAAATATATTTAGAGAATAGGAAATGTTCAGTGGGTTTTAATTGTAAGCTTTTAATAATGTAACAGTGAATCTGCTTAAGTTTAAGCATTAAAAGGCTGGGGATATAGCTCTGCAGCATAGCTCCTGCCTGGCAAGCTCAAGGTCCTGAGTTAGATTCCTGGCAGTGGAGAAAAAAAAAAAAAAGAGCATAGTAGGTATCTTCTAAAGGTCCTTTTTACCTGTGTTTAGATTTGTTTTTGTTTTTGTTTGTCTTTTTCCTTTTTTTTTATCGGTACCGGGGATCGAACTCACGACTGCCTGCTTGCGAGGCAGGCGCTTATGCTGCTGAGCTAAATCCCCAGTCCCCTGTTTAGATTTCTTGAGGAGTGTAGATCAAACTTTACAACATAGACACTGAAATATATTGTTAAAGATACTTTTCTAGGCGAGGCATGGGGGGACATGCCTGTAATCTCAGCACTTAGGAGGCTGAGGCAGGGGGATCAGTTCAAGGCCAGCCTGAGCTACATAGTGACTTCAAGGCAAGCCTGAACTGCATAGTGAGACTCTGTCTTAAAACAAAACAAAAAGGTGCTTGAGAATTATTCATCAAGTACTTTACTGTTTGCATATTTTTTTTTCAAAGCTCTCCGATTTAAAGGATGAAACAAATCATGCAGCACCTACATTTGGATTTGGAAGTAGACAAGCAGGAACATTCGGGTCACCAGGTAAGTGATAAAACAATGCAAGACTTCACTAGTTCAGAAAAGTAGGATTTTGTAAGTTTCAAATTACAGAGCTTAAATCACCATTTTAAATCACCCTTGCAAATTCTGCCATCTTTCATTTTGGAGCATCAGAAAGAGGCTCCAAAACGAAAGTTTGAAAGAGCAGTGGCTCAAACTTTAGAAGTACATTTTAGGAATGTTTTCTCATGAGCTTCATAGGAATATACAGCTCTAATAGCAGGACATTTGATTATCACTACGGCTGTCAAGTGACAGTTCAGGTGAAACAGGGGGACAACCAAAAGTGAAAGACCACTCCCTGGTCCCTGAGATTTCTCATGGGTAACGGGAAATCACAGGTAGCAGAAAGGACAAGACAATGGAGGTCAGTGAATTTGTCCTGACGTCTCAATTTCATTTTTCTCTTCCAAAAATTTCTTCCAAACATGGCAGAAATAAGAAAAGGAGGACAAATGGAGCTATGTACTCTGACTATAATAGATTATTGTTTCTTTTTCCGTTTATTTAAGGTTTTCCAGTGAGTGACAGCAAAAGTGCTCGTGCTCCGAATTTTAGCTTTAAAATGAACCCTGGAATCGCCACTGCCGCTGCTGGAGGCCCTTCCGTGTTTGGGGCCGCTCCAGCCTTTGGGGCTGGACCCTCTGCTAGTTCTGCCAGTTCTACTTCGGCTCCGAATTTTGGATTTGGGAAACCTGAAATCACTTCTGCCGCCTCATTTTCATTTAAAAGCCCTGCAGCCTCCAGTTTTGGATCACCTGGATTTTCAGGATTTCCATCTGCTGTGGGAGCAGGGCCTTTTGGAGCTCCAGTGGCCCCAGCTTTTGGAAGTGGCAGCTCTGTGACGGGTTTTGGTAGTTCTGGCTCACATTCTCACACTGCTTTCTCTAAGCCAGCTAATGACACCTTTAGAGCCACCGCTCTCCCAGCCTCCAGTGTCGTCGCGACAACAGATAGTATGTTATTCACACCCAAGGATCAACTAACAGCGGAAGAACTGGAACAATTTCAATCCAAGAAATTTATTCTGGGAAAAATTCCATTAAAACCACCACCTATGGAGCTTCTAAATATCTAAAGGAGCAATTTTAACTATAGAAAAGAATAAAGAAATTGAGGGTCTTTTTGGATTCTTTTTTTTGCGGTGTTAAGGATCATCCCTGACTCTACCACTAAGCTATGCCAGCCTCGAGAATGGCTTTTGAAATTGTCTTTCGTGGTTTATATAAAAGAAGATACAGTTAGAAACAGAGATGTAGATGGATGTGTGTATGTGTGTGTGTGTGTGTATAGAAGCGTTCAATAACATTTGAGACTATTGAAAGTTTAGCTCTTTGAGCCTAATTACATAAGCATAATAAAATACAACTTCAAGAGAATTTTTGAACTGTAATTACTGATGGAACTAAAATAATTTGTATGTATTGGATAAAATAATTTTCTTATTGTATATCACTTTACTGTTTTGAAACTAAAAAATTTGTACTGAATAAATTATTTCTTCATTTTATGTCATTTTATTGTGTCACCTTTTAAAGCTGGGGTGGGGCAGGGTTACAGCTCAGCAACACAGCAGCTGCCTGGCAGGCACAAGAGTATGAGTTCAGTTTCCAGGACCAAAAACCAAAAACGGTGTGTATGAGATTGATGATTGAACCAAGGGTCTTGTAATGCTAGTTGAGTTTTCTACCACTAAGCTCCATCCCCAGCCCCTGACTTTTTTTTAATGTAAAAAAAATTTTTAACCTCATAAAAGATATGTACTCCCACTTATTTTAACATATATTCAAATGATTCAGTCTGCAGAGGGCCTAAATTGTGTTACACTTTTTGAAAAACTGTGTGATTCCAAATAAAGTTCCAGAACCCTAACATTTGGAACAGAAATACATTTGAAATCCTCCCTGTTGCAGAAATGATAAACGGACTATAAGTTTCCTTTTCTTTGTCCTGAAGCTGTAAAGTTTTCATTATTGTTACTTAACAGTTGTTTTACTTTTTTTTTTTTTTTTTTGTCTTTTTCTTTTTTATCGGTACTGGGGATCGAACTCACGACCACACACTTGCAAGGCAGGCGCTTATACCGCTGAGCTAAATCCCCAGCCCCAAAAGATTGAGACATTCCTTTTATTTTATTTATTTATTTATTTATTTATTTTGTCTTTTTTTCGGTACGGGGGATCGAACTCACGACTACCTGCTTGCAAGGCAGGTGCTTATGCCACTGAGCTAAATCTCCAGCCCCGTTACTTAATAGTTGAATCAGCATTTTCTTGCTTCTGTACTGTACTACATATAGATGTCTTAATCCATTCCTGTTGCTGTAACAAAATACCTGAGACTGGGTAGTTTTTTTTTTTTGTTTGTTTGTTTTTGTCTTTTTCCTTTTTATTGGTACTGGGGATCGAACTCACAACTGCCTGCTTGCAAGGCAGGTGCTTATGCCGCTGAGCTAAATCCCCAGCCCCAAGACTGGGTAGTTTATAAATAACAGTTTATTTATCATAGTTGTGGAGGCTGGAAATCCAAGATTTTTTTTTTTTTAAAGAAAAGAGCTTATTTGGGCTGGTTTTAGAGATTGTAATACAATTCATTGGCTCCAAGGCAGAAACTGCATGGAGAAAGGATCTGGAGAAGTTAAGCTGCTCATCATGGTGATCAGGAAAGAGAGATGGATACAGAGAGGGAGCTGTATCCACCCAGGCTACACTCACAGCGACCCACTTTGGAAGTCCAAGATTTAGGTGCCAGCAGTGTTACTGATGGAGATCTGCTCTCTTCCCTCCACGATGTGACCTTTGATCCTGAATTCTCACATGGCGGAGGGTGAAGTGGCCAAAAAGTGATGTGTTCTTACATAACAGGGAAAAAATCCACTCTCAAGCTATACAGATACACACACACACACATGGCTTTTTGTAATACCTCATTGATTCCAAGCGCCCTTACTTCCCATTTGAAATTCCCAGTGTCCTTGAAGCTTTCAGAAGATGCGTTTTCAGATGTGCCTGATTGTAAGAATCACTGAAGTGTTTGTTTACCTGGGTAATATATCCAGATTATGGGGCTTTTTCCTTGAGCTGGGCTTAGAAGTATGTTAAGTATTCCAACTGATTTTTTAGATAAGTTTATGAAATTCATCCAGCCGAACTTTACTACTTTGTAATATTTGATTGGGAATCTTTCATGTGCAAACATCCAAAAATGTTAATTTAGTGGAATTTAATGTCAGATAGTGCAAAATTGTCAAAAATCAGAAGCAAATGTTACAGATTATTTAAAAGTGTGAGAAACCAAAACAGTGAAGTCCACAGTGTCCTTATTGTAGTAGCACATGGGCAGTTAAGTTTCAACATAAATTTTGGGAGACACATTCTGTTCTAACAATCCAGCTATGCAGGCAGAGGTGTCAGGAGTCAAGACTAGGAACTCCCAGAATGTGGCTTACGAGCAGCAGAAAATCAAAAATGTGTGAGAGTAGGGGCTGGGGGTTTAGCTCAGCGGCATAAGCACCTGCCTTGCAAGCAGGCAGTCCATGAGTTCGATCCCCGGTACCAATAAAAATGTGAGGTGGTCGGGCATAGAGGCAGTCTGATCTTCCAGATGCCAAGGACTTAAAGGAAAAAGGCAGCATGAGCGTATACCACATCTGGGTTTTTCCAGTGAGCAAGAGACAGTTTCAGAAAATCTGGACTATGAGGCTTTCACCCTCCAAAGCAAAAATGGTTCCTTTTACAACTACTGCATTAATTGTCTTGCCCAAACCCAAGTGGCAGAATTGCAAGTAATATTGCAATCAACTGATTTAACTTGCTCAGTTGTCTGACCATAAATGAGAAGGGGAGAGATGTAACGCCTGAGAGTTGATTAGAAGGGAGAGAGTAAACTGACAGGAAAGAGAACCATGTAAAGTAGACCAATAGAGACAGTGCTTAGCATAGGGAGGTCCGGGGTTTAAGCCCCAGAACCAAAAAATAAAAATTATTTAAAAGGCACAAAATGAATTAGCTTTACCGCATTACAAAATAATGTAACAAGCCATTAAACAATGGTTAATTGCAGTAGATTCATACAATACAGTACTATGCATCCTTTCTTAGTTACCTAAAAGAGTAGGGATTAGCTTGATAAAGTTTTCATTCTGTAATCAGTGGGCAAAAGCTTGGAGTAAAAATAACATGCAGTACCACGTTATCCAATTTAGAGGGGAAATGTATACTCATGGGGGAAGGTACTAAAATTTTTTTTAAGGCTCAAGTGTTAATGTGCCAGGTAAGTGGCTATGTTCCAAATAACACCCTATTACATTTATTAGCTAATTTTATGCTCACAACCATATAATCTGAGTGCTATTTAATGATCTGTGTTTTCTAAATGAGAAGACCAAGACCTGGAAATGTTAAATGATACCTCCAAGGTCAATTAGCAAATCATTGAATTAGGATTCAAACACTGGATTTAGAAGTCCATGCCAAACGCTATACTAGATACTAAATTATGAGTACATCTTTCTTAGTTTATTAGTATGCTCTACAATATACATATATTAGCCTTGTGATGTTTCCCACAATATTCCTTCATAGGTATTATGTGTGGAATGAAGCATAACATTTTCAGATGACAAGGACAGTTTCAGCAAGACAATCTCTTTCTCCATTCATTCATTGTCATGCCTGGCTTGCTTTTCCTTTTATTACTCGAGTGTGAGGTCGTGAGTTTAATCCCTGGTACCAAAAAAAAAAAAAAAAAAAAAAAAGATGTAACATGCCAGGTGTTTTGGTTACTTTTCTCTTACTGCTGAGGCAAAATACCTGACGCCCAAAGTTAGAGAAGGGAGTGTTTATTTCTTACAGATTGTTGGTTTCCATCCATACTCAGTTACTCCAAGCTGCAGGGTCACATGGCAGGGCCACCATTTATAGGTACGCAAACAACAAGCACCAACAGCAAAAGAGAGAGACACACCTTCTTCCCACCATTGCTGCCTCTGTCCCTGAGCAGGTGTAGGACTCACACCACCAGTCCAAGCACAAGACAACAAACCAATCACAAACACTAGATTCATGATTGCATGAGACTTGGAGGGGCGCACTGACATAAACCATGACACTAGGCATGGTGCCACATACCTATAATCTCAGCACTGGAAAGACTGAGGTAGGAGGATTACTATCAGTTCACAGCCAGCATGAACTACATAGTGAGACCCTGTCTCAAACAAAACCAAAAATAACAAAACCAAAAACTGGAAGCCTTCAAAAGGTGTGGGACTATTTTAAGAAAGCTTTAAAGTATGAACAGATTAATGAAGACATTTTCTTTCCCTCAAATGTTAGTTTTAAATTATTACAGAAGAAGCCAGGCATCGTGGCGCACTCCTGTAACCCCAGTACTTGAGAGGCGGAGGTAGGAGGATCATTGCAAGTTTGAGACCAACCTGGTCTACAAAGTGAGACCAACGTCAGCCTGAACTGCATAGTGAGGCCCTGTCTCAGAAAGAAAAAAATTATTATAGAAGAAATTTAGAAAGTTCAACCTCATTAGTACTAATGAAATGCAAATTAAAATAATGGTATATCACTTCATGCCCATTAACCTAGCAACAATGAAAATCTAACTAGTACTGATGAAGATGTAATGTTGTGATGAAGATGTAGTAACTTATGTGTGTGTGTGTTGGTGTAAGCAGAGAGAAGTCCGGCAACATCTAGTAACAGTGAAGGTGCACATCCTCTGCAACCTACAGTTCACTCCTCTGCATGATGTTCACTCTTCAAAGTGTGACTCCAGGGCCAGCACCATCTGTGTCCCCTGGAAGCTTAATACAAACACAGAATGTCAGGTATCTCCCCAAACTTACTGAATCAGAGTATGCATTTTAATAAAAGCCATCATATGATTGTACGCACATTTATAAGAAACGTCTTCATGTAAGAACAGTGAGACATGTACAGAGTATTATTGATAGTAGCCAAGCATGGCAGCAGCTAGAAGTCCATTCAAAGATAGCAAACGGTGGCACAGTGGGATATGTCTGTACTGGCAAATCAAGTTAGATGTACAAACAGCCACCCAAAGCAGAGTGATACGTACGTATGCATCTAAAGTATAAAATGCAAAATAAGTTGTATTATTTTTGGACACTGAAACGTAAGAATAGCAGCATGGGAATAAACTCCAAATTCAGAATAGGACTTACAGATAGGGGCTTCGTAAGTGACTTTCTTTAAAGGTGAAAGTTTATATGACAATAATAAAATTTAATAGTGAATAACTAGTATATAAAGTCATTTATATTATCTTCCATGATTTTTCCATGTGCTTGAAATAAGCTTAAAATTTTTAAAGATTTAATTTAAAGGGGGAAATCCAACAAGAAAATGCCATTTTCCCCACACCCCTAAGTAGCTTCCAGACTTCTGAAGTGATTGCTGTGAATAACCGGTTTGCCAAATTATATACAAATCTTTTTTCTTTTTTTGTCTTTTTCCTTTTTATCGGTACCAGGGA